CATTCCCAGGAATCAGTCTGGAAAATCTTCATTTCACTTCCTCCACAACCAGAGCATCCATCCTCTGGTAAGGGAACCAAAACCACACGATACATCGAGTGATTTAACCAAGTCGCTGTACAGTTGCTGCAAGATTTCTCTGCTCTTGTACTTGATCCTTATCACTGTGCAGGCCAACATATCCTTTGCTGTCTTCACTGCCTGCTGCATCTGCATTTTCTTTTTGTGTGCAAGGGCACCGGAGTCCTGTTGCACCTCCCCGTTTACTAATCTGTTTTTGCTGTAAGGTAGATAACCTCTCCTTTATCCATGTTGTACTTCGTCTACCATGCATTTGCTCACTCACTCAACTTGTCTAAATCTCACTGAAGCATCCTTCTCACAGTTCACTCTTCCACCAAGCTTTCTGTGGTCTGAAAACTTGAGATATTACATTTAGTTCCGTCATCTGAATCATTAATATTTATTGTAAATAGTTGGACCCCAAGCACTGAGCCTTCAGGTAACCCACTAGTCACTGACTGTCGCTTGGAAAATGACCTGTTTATTCCTACTCTGTTTCCTGTCTGCTACCAGTTCTCTATCCATGTTAGTACACTACCCCCAATCCCATGTACTTTATTCTTACATGCTAATCTCTTACATTGGAAAGCCTTCTGTAAGTCCAGGTAAACCACATGCACTGGCTCCACCTTAACAATCTTAGTTTCATCCTCAAAATATTCCAATAGGTTTGTCAAAATTACTTTCCCTTTTGTAAATCCATGCTGACTGCCTAATCCTGTCACTGCTTTCCAAACACCCTCCGATTAAATCTTTTATAATGGACTCTTGCATTTTCATCACTACTAGTGTAAGCAATCTACATTTGCCTGTTTTCTCTTTATCTCCTTTTTAAATAGTACAGATTGATTAACTACCCTCCAATCCATTGGAACTGTTCCAGAGCCTATAGAATCTTGAAAGATGACCACAACACACAGTTGCAACTATAACCAAGTACAAGTATTGCATCTGCTTCATAGTCGTTTGATGTTCTATTTGTAGGGCCTCTTCCTTAAATACTCTGGGATATAGATTATCATACCTTGGGGATTTATTATTTATAATCTCATGAAGTTTTTGTTCTTTTCTGTCTTACCTGTGTTCCCCACTGTATTTGGGATACTTTGTGTCCTCTCTTGTGAAGACCGAATCAAATTTGTATTTAGTTGGTTTGCCATCTTTGTTTTCCAGTGTACCTTCCACTGTTTTTGACTGTAAAGGACCTACATTTGTCTTCAATACTCTTTTTTTCTCTTCACATACCTATAGAAGCTTTTTCTAGCAGTTTGTATGTTCCCTGCCAATAGAGCACACTTGTACTGAAATCTAAACTGCTCCCAGTGCTCAGCTCTGCAGGGTTTTTGACCAGTTTGTATGTCGTTTCCTTGGGTATAATAGTAACCTTTGTTGGCATAGTTGGGCTGTCTTTCCTAATTTCGTACGAGACAGGAATGAACAATTGTTGCAGATCATCTTAAATGTTCGCCATTGCCTGTTCGCCATTGCCTGTTCGCCATCATACTTTTAAGTACATTCCTCAATATATCATAGCCAACTCATGACTCATACCTTTGTAGTTTTCTTATTTAGATTCAGGACTGTTGTCTCAGAACTACCTGTATCACACTCACTCTTAATGAAGAGTTTCATCATGCTATGGCCACTATTCCACTAGGGGCCTTGTATAGCTAGATTGCTAATTATTTCCTGTTCACTGTACAATACCCAATTCAGGATGGCCTGCCATCCGGTTTGGTTCCTTAACACATAAATCCAGAAAGCCATTTTGTACACGTTCCAGGAATTCCTCCTCTATGGTATTGCTATTGATTTGATTTGCCTAATTTTATATGCAGATTAAAGTCACCCATAATTGCAGCTATAACCAAGTCCAAGTATTGCACCTGCTTCACAGTCGTTTGACATTCTGTATATGGCTAACAGTCTCAAACTAGAACCCAGACTTAAAGGCACTGGCAGATAATGTGCAGTCGTAAGTGTCACGCTAAGTGTTGTTGAATAGCGGCTAGTTAAATAAACTTAAATAAACTCAGCTATTTATTCCATTTCTTTGGGCTAGCTTCTGGGTTGCACTTAAATTCAAAAAGTGATCTTGTCTTTTAAGCACTGGTCTCCAACATGGAACAAAGAATCAAAGAACCATACACAGTACAGAAGAGGCCCTTTGACCCATTGAGTCTACACTGACAGTAAACTATTCTAAATCTAAAATAATATAAAGAACAGCAGATTCTGAAGATCTGAAATAAAAACAGAAATTGCTGCAGAAACTCAGCAAGTCTGACAGCATCTGTAGGGAGAAAGCAAAGTTAATATTTTGAGTCCAGTGACCTTTTTTCAGAGCTGATGATAGCTAGGAAAAGATGGTATTTCTGATGATGACAAGGAGTGAACGAGTTTAGTGGATGGTGGAAGGAGTGAACAGATAGGTGGAGACAAAGCCTGTTAAGCATTTATGAAAACATTTTTCCTCAAATCCCCTCTAAACCTCTTGCCTTTCACCTTTAAAATAATTACCCCTTGTTTTTAAACCCTATCCACCTTGTCCTTGACCCTCTCATTTTTATACACCTCAAATCTAATTAATTAGAGGTTAGAAACAAAGAAGACCTTCTAATACAATACTAGGTGTAGATGTAGAAAAACAAATATGCAGTGAAATTCAGCGTGCATAAATTTATAGACATTATGGGAGCCTTCCTGTCCTGTATTAGGATATTAAATAGTGTAAAGTGCAGTAAGGGAGAAAAATTGCAAGCAAACAAAAACAGAAATTGCTGGAAAGGCTGAAGTCGAGCAGTATGTGGTCCAGTGACCCTTCATCAGAACAGATGCTGCCAGAGCTGCTGAGCTTTTCCAGTAATTTCTGTTTTTATTTTTGATGTACAGCATCTGCAGTTCTTTCCCTTTTTAAGAATTGCGTGTATATGTTGGGGGACTGTAGCTGTATGTTTCTGGTAAACAGAGACATTGCTGAATCTAATTCTTGAGATGGGGATCGTTATTCACAATTGAAACATGATCATTGAATCAAAAGATTTTAAGTTTGTTGTAGAAAAGGAGCAGTACAAAGTGAAGATAATCAGGGGAGAGAAAAATTTAGTAGCCTGAGAATGGATCTGGTTCTGGTCAATTGATTGAAGAATGGAAGATGAAATTGATATAGAATCATAAAATTTTACAGCACAGAAAGAGGGCATTTGACTCATCGAGTCTGGCTCCTGAAAGAGCAAAGAATGGTCCACCACCATTCACAGCCTATGGATCAATGTGCTGCTTTTGGGAGAAATTGGTTTGGATGTAGTTGAGAAATATTCTCATGAGAAAAAGGTAGGACGAACAACACCAGAACTCCTGGATAACAAAAGGCAGGTGATATGAAAAGGGGTTCATAGACAAATGCCAGGTTGACCTGAAAACTGGGTTGAAACTTGAAAGAAGTAGTTTTTCAAAAAAACAGTCATGAAGCAAGAGTACGAGAAGGGACTAGCAGCTAACGTGAAAGGAATTAGAATCCCTTACAAACTGAAAAAGAACAAGTAAGACCGATTTAAGGACTGGAAAGGGGGATTGAAGGTTGTCCATCTTGACAGAGAAAATAGCAAAGCAGAATATTATTTAAATGGAGAGAGACTTCAGAATGCTGCAGTGTACATGCATCTCAGTGCCACGTACATGTGTCACAAAAAGTTAGGTACAGCATATAGGTACTGCAAGTGATTAGGAGGACAAATGGAATGGGGGTGTGAAGTAGAAAGGTATGGAAATCCTGCTACAGCTGTTCAGGGTATTGGTGAGACTTCGCTTGAATGTTTTATATCGTTCTGATTATTATTCAAGGAGCAATGCATATACATTGGAAGCATTCGGAGAAAGTTTGCTGGGTTGATTCCTGTAATGCAGTCGTCTTCTAAAGGAAGAAGAATGAGAGAATCTTATTGAAACATTGGATTCTAAGGGGACTTGAAAGGGTGATTGCTGGAAGGATGTTTCCTCCTGTTGGAGATACTAGAGTTAGTTGATACAGGTTGAAAACAAGGGGGTCTTTCACTTAATATAAAGATGAGGAGGAATTCCTTTTTGAGGGTCTTTAGTCTTTCGGATTCTCTTTCACAGAGTAATGAAGGTTGGGTCATTGAATATATTCAAAGCTGGGTTTGATTTTTGATTAATGAGGACATCTAGGTTTAGTTGCATGCATGAGATGGTGTTAAGGTTGCACTTTGATTTGGGCATGACCTATTGTATAGATTTATTTTGGCCAAATGGCCTACCTTCGCTGTTTCTCATGACTGTTGTAGGAATTCCTTAGGGTCGAGCTGAAAGCTGAAATGTCGGTGTTTCACAATGGCCTTGCCTCCGTAAGATCAGAAGTAGGGATGTTTGCTGATGATTGGATAGTAGTATTCAGTACAATTTTTTCAGATATTAAAGTGGCACATGGGTGCGTGCAACAATATTTGGGCAGTGTTCAAAAATGGACTGATATGTGGCATAAATGTTAAGTCCCAGCCAATGACCACAGCTGACAGGAGAGAATCTATTCATCTCTCACTTATATCACCATGTTGAATTCTTGCAGCCCCCCAGAAGTTGCACGCAGCTGTGACTTAGAAATATATTTCTGGCACTTCATTGTTGCTGGGTTAAAATCCTTCCTTTGTTGCAACACTTATATGAGCCACCTGGGCTGTAGTGGTTCATAAAAGAAATTCCTCACTCCTTTGAGGTTAGCTAGGGATGGGCAATAAATGAATTTTTAAAAACTTATAACTTTGTGATAAACAGCATTAATCTTTATTTGTAAATAATTGTCTCTGTAAATGTTTGTTAAATTTCAGAATTATTGGTGTGTCTCTAAACCCAAATGATCTTCAACTAAACTTTGTTTAAATGAAAGTAACATACATATGGAACTCCATGATCTTTTTCAGGCCCGTCAAGCCGCCCCCTGTGTGCTGTTCTTTGATGAACTTGATTCCATTGCTAAGGCACGTGGTGGTAACATTGGCGATGGTGGTGGTGCTGCTGATCGTGTTATAAATCAGATCCTGACTGAAATGGATGGCATGTCCACCAAAAAGAATGTCTTTATCATTGGTGCAACTAACCGCCCTGATATTATTGATCCTGCAATTTTACGCCCTGGACGCCTTGACCAACTTATTTACATTCCACTGCCTGATGAAAAATCTCGTGGTGCTATTTTGAAGGCTAACTTGAGAAAGTCTCCTATTGCTAAGGCAAGTAAGCTTTCTGTTTCCATAAAATTGCAAAATTCTAATATTATTTAACATCAAAGAATAAAATGATCAGTTTTCATGCTAATGGTTAGGTTTCGTGTGCAAAGAATGTCTTAGTTGTTTGGTAATAAAGCACCTGAATATTGCTCAACAATTGCTTCAACTTCGTTGAAGTTTTTTGTCCTTCTTTCATCAGGATAGTTCATCAGGATAATTGGTATTTCTTGTAAATTGTCCTGGCAAGATTGAGACAAAAAACTTCGACAAAATGTCTTTTTGCAGCAGTACTTAAATATTTGTAAAGTCAGATGACACAAGGTTATAGCCCAACAGGTTTATTTGAAGTGACAAGCTTTCAGAGCATTGCCGTTTCATCAGGTGAATGAATCAATAAGATCAAGGCTGGTCTGGTTGTGGTCTGAACTCCAATTTCTAGCACACATTTCATTACATGTGATTTCCTTGCCTATCAAAAATCTAACTCCAACTTGAATAAATTCACCTACCTACCTTCACTGTTTTCTCAATGTCATAATCTAATGATCCTCTGAGAGGAAAGAACACTTCTCGCTCATGAAAATGAGACCTTTTTGTTCTAAACTGTCCCCTGTTTCTAGTCTTCGCCCACAATGGGCAACGTTCTCTCAATATGCACCTTGTCAGCAGCCTTCAGGGTCTTGTATGGATCACTTTAACATTCTTTTAAACTTCATTAGGTAAATGCCAACCAACTCAACTTTATAGTCAAGATAAGAACATAGTAACAGGAGTAGGCCATTCACCCCCTCGAGCCTGCTCCACCATTCAACGAGATCATGACTGAACTGTGGCCTAACTCCATATCTTTGGCCCATATCTATTAATACCTTTTGCTTATCAAAAATTTATCATCTCAGAATTAAAATGAACAATTGATCCAGTTGGCATTGTCATTTGGGAAGAATGTTCCAAACATCTGCCACCTTTTGTGTATGGAAATGTTTCCTGATATCTCTCCTGAATGGTCTGGTCATAGTTCTCGGACTATGTCCCCTAGTTCTAGAATCCCCATCCTGTCCTACCCTGTTTTTATCTATTAATGTTTTGAAGACTTTGATCAGATCAGCCCCTATCATAAAAACATCAAAAATAGGTACAAGAGTATGCTATTTGGCACTTCAAGCCTGCACTACCATTCAATATGATCATGGCTGATAATGCAATTTGAGTATCCCACTCCTGCTTACTCTCCGTACCCATTTATCCCTTTAGCTGCAAGGACCTCATCCAGCTCCCTCTTGAATATGTCTTAATGAACTGGCCCCAACAGCTTTCTGGTAGAGAATTCCATAGGCTCACAAACCCCTGAGAAATTCTTCCTCAAGTCTGTCCTGAATGGCTCACCCCTTATTTGTAGACTGTGGCCCTGGTTCTGGACTTCCCCCAATATTGGGAACATTTTTCCTGCATCTAGCCTGTACAGTCCCATCAGGATTTTATGTTTGTAACACCTCTCACTCTCTCACTCTCTCACTCTCTCACTCTCTCACTCTCTCAC